TAAATTAAAGTCGTAAGAAGTTATTTATTAATTTTATTTTCTTAATAAAAATTTACGTGATACATGATAACAATCACTACAGTAAATAATTGTTTACAATATATTTCATATATTTTTATGGTCTGCGTAACATGAAAAATGTACGCGCACGCGTGTATATGTATACAGGATGATTCACTATGTACGTTAAAAAATTTATCAGTTGACTCAAGAAATTATTCTGAATACAAAATTAAAAAAAAAAAAACATACACCTGAACACATTTATAGTTAACAATATCTGTTATCCATAGTTAATCGAAGTTACTAACTTGGCCTGATTTTAACGCGTCTATGAAAATTTTATTCGGCCCGATACGATTACTCCTCTTGTTCAAATCCTTGTAACGTTGGATTCAGAAGAAAAATTAGGTTCCAATGAGCTAGTGTCATGTGTAGCCTAATTTCTTATGGGAATACTTCGTTTCATTATCAACAAACAAAAATAACAAAAACTACCACCAGAAGTACAAAACAATTCTCTCTGACGAAAAGTATAACACACCAGGTGTCTAGTGTTAGCAGTAGGTGAGCTAAATGACCTCGGCTAAAAAATTAGTAATTGCTGTTGAAAGTAATCGTTGAGTATTCCTCTATTAGCTAAAAAAAGATGAGAATCAAGTCTAATAACGGACTGAGTTAAAAATTGGATTAAAGCACGTCCACAAGGAGGATGGTCTTTTGCCACCCAATCAAATGAAAATTCATATTAATAAAGAACAATTTTATTTGGTTATAATATAAACCAAAATCTTAAGAAATCCTGGTTCAAGAAAAATATTGAAAAAAAAGAGAGTTTAGAATAATGAGAAATTTGAACACCTGAAATTAATTTGATTACATTAAGCAGAAACACTGAAGTATAGGTACCATGCATATCTCTATTATCTAACGCTGTATGTGGCTATATATCGAGGACTCTTTGGCAAGGGGATTCGATATATGATGACTGACACGGCAGGAGAAAAATTAGACAATTCTAAAGAAGATATGCGCTTATAGTAGGAGAAAAGAAACTGATGTCCCTTTAGGAAATATTGGCTATACATGAAGAAGTAGAACATCTCCCTGAGGCAGGAACACTGCGAGATGATGAAACAACTAATATAGCAACAACGAAAACATCACTGATCTATCATTATACATATCAAGTATTGAAAAAGGTGACCAACATGAAGGGCATAGATAAAGATAATACATCGACATAGTCATACTTAAATGATCAAGCTGAGTAATCAAGAAAATCACCTCCAGATAGAACAACAAGAAACAAAAGAAGAAAAAAACTAAAAACAATTGAAATCAGTACAGAAGGAGGAAGAAACCATAATCAAAGATGGAAGCAAAGAGAAGGAAAAAACTGATATCCAACAATAAAACATCAAAGAAGAAATTAAAGCTATCTATAAGATTATTGTAACATGTAAAAAATAGAGAAACAAATACAACAGGGATGTAAAGAGATATCAAATAATCTCATTACCGCCAATAATTTCGTACTTCGAGCACAAGGCTTACAAGCTTACGGTTTCCTAAATATTTTTTTTTCTTTTGTTAACAATGACTACTGATTTATTAACAAGTTTGGTAAAAAAATGATGTATTATGAATAATGCTGTCGATCAATCTGTCAACTCTGAAAAGCAACATTTTGATTTATAATGACGTTAATTTTCAACCATATATAGGCAATTGCTATGTTACAAAGGAAATTTTAAGTGTAATATTTTTTCCAAACTTTTAAAAATAACATTTCACTGAGAAAATTGCATAATATAAAATTATGTATAATTTTCAAATGGTAAAGATATCTTTCAATACTAAGAAAAAAAAAAGGAGTACTTAACAAACAAAAATGTTCTCAAATAAAAGAAGGAAATCTTAATATGTACATAAATTCTGAAAGCTTAACAGTTCCAGGAGTACAACTTCATTTTGTAAGTCAAGACATACAAATTGATTAAAACTGACAGCTTTGATGGGCATCTCCTGAATGATTGAGCTTACAGAATATCTTCGTGTTTAGAATCACTCTTTAAATCAACTGGTCAATTTTTGTATACATACTCCAATACATATAGGGTGAATCACCTGTATGCTTAACTTAGGTAACTTTTAAATTTTATGTTATGTGAAAATATTGTATACGAAAGTTGCTTGACTATAAAGAAGATATTATATATCATAAGCTCTTTTTTTTTTAGGCAGCAGTGGAAATTTGAAAATCAATTTCACTTTCTTAAGGAGAACACAATATTTTATATACCAAAATTTGAAGAAATACCGAGTTCTGAATAAAAATGTATTAACTTCTGTTAGCTCTAAATTTAATATTTAGCAAGGAATTATCAAGAAACCGATCAATATATCTTTTAAATAGCATTTAATAATGATAAGGGTTAATATATTTCAGTTTCAAATTTAACATTCATTCAAGTGTAGCATGAATGATATGGCATTTTATTAAAAAAAAAAATAGAATTTGATTTTTAGATCTCCAAGATGTCATAGTTTATAATAGAAGTACATATGCTGTACAGTACTTCTTTCAACATCATGACATTTTTTTACAATGTGTTGTACACATAATCTAGGAGTTACTCAAGGTGAGCATGTAGATGCCTCACTTTGTATATATACACATGGGCGTGCACGCGCATGCATACTTTTTCATTCATTCATACTTCTTTCATACTTACATACTGTAAATTACTTCAAGTCAATGTTAAACAATATAGAGCTTCTTCTTGTCTTTAAAATTAATAAAAATTTCAATGAATATAAAACTACATAAGAAAACCAGATGAAATAATAAATATATGGCACACTTGTAATACATCAAAATTAGATGTAAATAAATATCACATTAAATACAAAATGCATATTATCACATTTAGGAAACCCTGTATTATATGTATATAAATAACAAAATAAAAATGAACAAAATTTTTAATTTACATAATGTAAATATCTATGTACAAGCAAAGCATCACTTTTTATAATTTGTGGAAAATACAACGAATTTTGTTATATTATGTGTGCAACATATAATACATATGTAATGACTAGTATAATAGTTTATAGTATATACGCTTAATACATAAATATCAAAAGAATTTCTTATAGTGTATAGTCTCGCATAAACTTATTTTTAATATTACTATAAATTATAAGTCTGATGCCAGCATATTTGGCACACATGTGTAAATAGAAATACTAATTTTTTAATAACTTTATGTCACATCGTAATTTTTTCACAGAAAAGTTAATAATTCGAAAAAAATATCACAATTATCAATTTACTC